GATATGACACCCAAAAGCCTGTCCTGCCCGTCTGCATGCACTGGCCCCGTGGCCAGCAGCCCTGCCTAGTCCATGTTGCGGAGCCCAGCTGCTGGGCGTGTGAGCAGGACCTTCTGGCTGGGAGCCACTCACTCAGCAAGGCCTGGGCTCTGGACTGCCCCAGGGCGAGGAGCCAGACCCGGCCATGTGGATGGGTTAGATGAGTCCGTAATGGGCCCCTTCCCAGTGTGGGTCTGGCGCCATTGGCACCATTGTAAACCCAGTACCGCACTTGACCCATTTCAGAAATTATCCAGCACTGGGGAGGGAGGGACACCCACTGACATGAATGGAGCAATTTACGCATCTCAGAGACATTGTTTCAGACTGTGTTCATCTCCATGGGGAGAACATCTCATTGAGATTAATGTGGCGCTTAACACTTCTCTGAGCCTGTAAGGCTGAAGTCTGAAACCCTCCCTAGGCAGAAATCTCAGAATGAATTTTAAACATTTGGGGAAAATCTGATTCTGTTGAGGTTTTCTTGGTTATTTTGGAGAAATGTCACCCGAGCACAGCAGAATATTCAGAAGGCACTGGTACTATTGTTGAAAAGAAAACAAATGACATGTGACTGCTCACAGGGTGGGAAGGGTGATTAAGGGTGCAAGAGTAGGTAGTAATATGGGAAGGGAGGGTTGGGTTTGCAGAAAAGGATGGGGGTATTATGGGGAGGGGGACACATGGGAACAGGTGGTAGGGGAGGGAAGAGGATTTGGTGGGCTCAGGTAAGAGGAAGTGGTAGGGATTAGGAGAAGTGGGAAGGGTTGGAGAATGTGAGTGGTAGCAGAACATATTGAGGGTTTACAGGTGAGGAGCCTGGAAGCCCTGAATTCTCCCCATCCATGTGTGTGCTGGGATCTCTGGCAGCCCTACCCCTTTGCAGGGGTCTGAGCCCCTTTCCCTGCCCACTGGATGTTCTGCTTAGCATGCTTGGAGTCAGGACTAAGAATAGAAGAAACAAGGAGCCATTGCTGGGCCTAGTTTGAGAGGCTTTTGCATGGGATGATCTGGACAAGCCATCCACCAGTCCAGTGACAAGCCAGGGCTGTACATCCCCAGATAGCAGGGGAAAGGGCATCCTGACAAAGAGAGAGGGTTTAAAGTTGGAAGCTGGGAGAGAGACTGTGCAGATCAGGGAGACCCTGCTAAATTCCTGCTCCCCACAAAAGGACTTTGCATTAGTCTTAGACTGTGGCTTCAGTGATATGGCGTCTCCAGCACTGCAGTGACCAGAATCCAGAGAGAGAAGTTCTTATCCAGCACAGGTTCCCGAGAATCAGCTGAGATCCCAAGGGATTCTAATGAACCTGGATGGAGTCAGGAGAGGAGCCTGCCCTATCAAGGCATGAATTAAAAGGTGACTTTTGTTTTAGTCAGCCACCACCACAGTGCTGCAACACTCCATCTCAGGACACATGACTTCAGCAGCACCATCCACCTTGGGAAGGTGCCAGGGAGGGAGGTGGGGTTAGGGAAGTTTGTGAGCATTAGGATGCAGGGAATTGGGTTAATAATGTTTCTTAATTATTAGATAATCTTAAACCCTTCCTGCCCCATATCCTATTTTCCTGTGACCAATACAGTTCACCTTTCTGTTATAGTGTTATTTTTGGTGTGTCATTCATTTGCTGAGGCTTATTTTATTTACTCTCTTCTCCCCTGTATACTGGGCTTTATGCTTCTTTCCAGTTTGAAGTATTAGCATGGCTTTATCAAAGGATAGTCACCTATGCATTGGGCACAGTGCAGAGTCTCTTTGAGTGGCGACACCAGGAGCCAAAAAAGAAAAAGAACCCAGAATCTGACCCGTGCAAGGAGTGGAGAGAAAATACCCCAAATATTTGCGATAGCAAGCACCTGGGAGAGAAAATGGAGGAGGGGCTACATATTATTATAATAAAAAAAGTTTTAAAACCCAGCGACATGTTTAAAAGAAAACCTGAAGGAAAGTTAAAAGAAAAATAATGTAGCTAAAAGTTGTTTTGTTAAATTTTTCAGGGATCAAAGCGGAGTCTTTGGTGACCATTTAAAGTAAAAGTCACTGTAGTCACAGCCTGAAGTAAAAGAAGAAAAGGCCTTTCATGCTGGTTTCTATGTTTTTTGAAAATGAATACTGCACTCACAGGGACTAAGTCCTCATTTAAGAGTCAGATCCAAAGGATTTTGAAAGTAAAGAACTCAATGATCAAACTCATTCAACAGCAGAGCTGAGCAAAAGTCAGATTTCCCATCTAGCAAGGAAATTCTGATTATTTCAACATTTGTTTTCACCCCAAAGCATGACAAAAAGATGAGGCATTAGTTTTTATGGAACAGAAATTTTTAAAAACTTCAATTTACAAATGAAGAAACTTTTTGTTTCAGCCCTCTCAACCCAAATGAAATATTTTGCATTAAACTGCCTTTTCCTATTGTTGTGCATTGCCTCCTGGGACTGTAGTATGGGAACCCAATGCACCCATTCTCCACTGTGCCCACGGTTCCTGCATGGACTAGGTCTCCCACGATGCAGCCTCCATCCTCCCATGATGCATCACACATGTTGGTCAGAGGAGAGTCCAATTGCACTATGGAAGATGTAGACCTCCAGGGAGTCTGACTCATAGGAGGATGAGGACCTGAGGTACAACTCCCATAAGGCAATGTGCTAACATGCACATACAGTTTAATGAAATGTTTTGTCAGTTCAACAAAAAAATCCAATTTGGGTTGAACCAAACCAAAAACAAAAGATATTTCATTTTGATTTTTCTGATGGAAAAATCAAAATATTTATATAAAATCAAAATATGAAGCTGCATTTTCCTTCATGGAATCATTCCACTGGTAAATTCTTGACTGGCTGTAGACAATAGTCTGCATATGCCATTAGCTGCCAGAGCAAATTCTTCTAGTTTAAATATTGGAGCATAAAACGTACACGATCAAGTAACAAACTCAGTTACTGCTATATATGTGCAGGACTCGTTCCTCCGGAGGGAACAGGATGCTGCAGGTGCACTGAGCAGGGGGATCTACAGCTGAGTAGTGACTCCAACAGCCAGGGGGAGGGAAGGAAAATGGATGTGGTCGTAAATACTCAGAGATGGGAAATCACAGATGGCTTTTCTCACCACTGGTGGGTGGGAGGGTAGCGGTGGGTCATTGATAGCAGCTGATAGTTCCTGTCTGCTGCAGGCTGTGTACTGGAGAGTGGCACCTCCTGATCATCAAGGAAGAGAAAGAAGAAACTTTACAACACTGATGGTGGGGAAAAAAGGATAAAACAAACAGTGCTGAGATGCATCCTATCCACCTACAAACAGGTGGTGGAGCTCTGAGACCTTGATAGAGGCATTGTGGGGTAGATGGTGACAGAAGCACCCTCAGCCCTCCAGGCACCGTATTTGATGCTCTTGGGAGAGAAAAGGGGAACCTGCATTAGGCGTTAGTGGCATTAATCCCAAACCCCCAGTGAGGGACAGCAGCTGGTGCAACAGGAGGCTGATTTTGTGGCTCATTCTGCTGCTGCTTTAGGGTAGATTTTCAGAGGGCTCAGCATCCAACATGTAGATTCTTTGAAAATCTGGTGGGAAGTATCACAATGGGAGCTGCTGGGTGCTGAGCAATTTTGAAAATCTGGCCTCAAGTCCTCCGTGTTTCCCAGATTCTCAGAGGCCTGGGATGGGGTTTCTATCTTGAAAGCAGAAGAAAAAGAGCAGAAATGTATTGAAAAAGAACGAGCCACAGCTTTCCCCAAAGGGTTTAGTTTTTTATAATGAGTCCAACATTGGCACCTGATCTCACATGCCCTGTTTATAACTGTAAACACACATCCCTACCCCCAGCACCAGTATTTCTTCAAACTGGTGCTGGCTCTCAGCTGGGAGCACGTTCAGCCCCAGCGCTAGGAACATCAAAGGGCAAAGCCACCATGGCTGGAGTTTAAGCATAAGCCCAAATTGAGTATTTCTGCTCAGATGGGGAGGTTGAGAATCCTCAGAGTCCTGGGGTCTCTTTTGTTTGTATTGGTTATATATATGAAAAT